CTTCCAGAGATGCCAGCAGAGTATGATAGAGAGCCCGCTGCCTCTCCGAGCTATGCCAAGCCAACCACCAAGAAATCAAATGGGCCCGCACAGACAGAATTATGCTAGAGATACCACACAACCCCCCAAAGAATGCCCATACTGCCAGAGCAACGTCTCCCGTGGCAAACACATGCTCAATGGATTCAGCCAACGGGGAAGGGCAACACACACATTTAGATGGGACATGAAAGCCAATCATGCTGAGTGTGTCATCTAAGGGCAGTTGGCTTATTAAGAGTCGAACCATGAAAAAATGCTATTTTCACGGGGGGTTGGACACTGCCAAACCCTAGAAAGCATGACTGAGGTATTACCTACATGCCGCACCTCATGATAGGCCGAGGCTAATGAAAACTTCCCAGACCTCTCTGGCATCCATACCGCCTCATCTGCAATCTGTTCAGACAATACCGGTTTCCCCAACACCAAAGACATCACATCCCGAGGTAGAACTTGAGCCAGAAGCTGAGCATTCCAGTGCCTCTGAGTGATAAAATCCCGGAAAGATAAATATGAGGCTACTGGGGTTTTCAGAAACAATGCTCCACTTCCCTGCCAATTATCATACCAAAAATGACTGGATCCGTTTTGTACTAACCACAACATGGAAAGCTCAACCTAGCAACTGACATTTAGCATCCGTCTCCACGTAGCTGAGGCAAATGGCTTGCACTCCGCCTGGCAAGAATGAATTCCCCGACAATACTTCTCCCGCATGAAAGAAACCCATAGGGACGACTTGGTCCGGAACTGCCACCAGAGCTTGTAAGAGAAAGCCGCATAGACATCCTTAATCCGGCGAAACCCTGCCCCTCCTTCCTCAGGCGGGAGACATAGTTTAGCCCATCCAATCCAATGATACCTCAAACCCTCCTCCGAAGATCCCCACAAAAAGTTGGCACAAGCTCGCTTGATGACTCGGAACACAGCCTTGGGCATAACTGCAGCAGATAGCAAATGAAGCGGAATAGCGGAAAAAACATGCTTGATCAAGGTGAGCCTTCCCCCCGATGATAAAAACTTAGTCTTCCAAGACAATATTTTCCCCAGGACCTTTTGCCACACTTCCGCAAAGTAGGCCATCTTACACCTGCCGACATATAAGGGAAAACCTAGATATCGGGTGGGAAACGTCTGGCTCAAGAACTCTATGATACGTTCAATAACCCTACGTCTGGCACTGGATAAGGAAGAATGAACCAAATAGCCGCTCTTTTGAGGTTTGAGCATCTGACCAGAGGAGCATTGATACATATCAACCACCCTCATAACCTGGCGCAGAGAAGCTGAGGGCCCATTAGCTAGGATTAGCACGTTGTCCGCAAAGGCCAAATGGGTTACTCCAGGGCAACCCTGGGGTACCCTAAACCCGTGATATAATGGATAGGTTGTAAGGTTATTCAGCTCCCATGATAGGACCTCCGCGGCTATAACGAATAAGACAGAAGAGAGCGGGTCTCCCTGACGGAGACTCCTATTAGATTTGAAGAAGCCGTAAGCTGCCCCATTGATCATAACTGAAAACCAGACGTTAGACACCAACCTCCAGACCATATCAATGAAACGTTCTCCAAACCCAAACTTCCGTAATACCCTAATAAGATGAAACCAGGACACCTGGTCATAAACCTTGGCCATATCAAGTTTCTGTGAGAACCCGAATATTTTCTTATTTCTAGGCATTATTTTATTTCTTTGCACACATTTTCTATATTTTCCTTTATTATATTAATTTTCTAGATATTTTTATAAGTGGGTATAGTGTTTAAATCATTTTTCTAAAATAAGTTAGTTCATGCACCATTAGTAGCATATATTGGACGTGGGACCTGCTAGTGCGTTAAGCGCGGTGAATTTTGACGATTAGGTAAAGTTTTGTATTAAGGGATATTATTTTACAAGGTGTCAGGAGACAATTAGAGGTTAGTTAGATAGATTAACCATTGGGAGAAAGAAAATAAGCTTAAACCTTAAAAGGTGCCAAATGTCGCGACCCGATTGGAGTTGGACTTTGACCAAAGGTTTTACAACTTTCCTAAAACTAATTTTGACCAAGATTTTTCTCATTTTGTCCCTTGCTTGACCGGCCACCTTGAGAGGAAAAACCAAGAGAGTTTCTTCAACTTCAACTTCAAGTCTTGGTCAAATCTTGAGTTTCAACCGTTGAATCATCAAATTACTCCATCAAAGTTGCTTACTAAGGAGGATTAAAGCTTTTAGTGGAGTAAATTTGGGATGAAGAAACCTAAGCTACCATCTTTCTTGAGGTTTCAAGGTACTTTGCTTAGAAATTTCCTCTTTGTTTTATTAATGGTAAATTAGTGGCTATAGTGGCTAAATATGTTGTTTTGTGCAAGATTTCATGGTTTAAAGTAGAGTTTTGATAAATTTCAGATTTATTGGTGATTTTTCTGTCCTCATATGATGACTAATGGTTGGCCATGGTTTTGATAGTTTGTTATGTGAAATATTGAAGCTTGATAGGCTAGTATACTTTGCCTAATGAAATTTCAGCTTGCGGTGCATAAATTTCAGATTCAGGGTTTCCAATTTTGGTATAATTGTGGTGGATTTGGGAGTTACCAATTGATTGTACATGAAGGGTATTGTGACCCTAATTAAGTGTGTTAAATGGTTTATGATTTGTATGTGAAATTGTGGTTGAATTGAGATGAGATTGGGTGGGTGTTAGGTTAGAAAAGTAAAGAAAAACAAGAGAAGTGCTGCTAAAATCTTCGCAGGACCCTTGAGCAGTTTTGAAAAATCTATTGTATCTTGTTGTAGAAATATCAAAATTGAGTTCTGTTTGTTGTGTTTTAAACTAGATTCATAGAGATAGAAACCTTGAAAATTTCAGACCCTAGTTCTATCTGTGTGATTTATGGTAATTTTCCAAAGTTGACTGAAATTACATACCTGTTCTGTCTTTTACTGGATGAAGCAGCGACTTGAGGCTTGAATTTGACTGACTTGTGGTATGAATATTATAAATGTGTTTTCTGAGAAATTGTACCCCTTTGAGTCTATTTTCCGACGGTATAAATTTTATCAATTTTGGACTTAAAAATCTTGAGATATGATTTTTCAAATGATGGTGCGCAAAACTGGAAAATCCTATTTTCCTAGAATTATTCTTACTTTCATTTTGCACCTTAAGTTTGGAGTTAGTAAATCATTGTAGGTATGGTTTTGGGTAGAAGCGAAGATTTTTGGATCGTTCATGTCTTTAGGACCAACTACTACCTTTTCACTCCACAACTATACTTTGGTGTTACATTAGTAATTTACTTGGTTAGGCATATGACTCGTAATCGAGTTTCAATTGTTTTACCTTGGTGGTTTAGGACATACCGGTGGTCCAAGTACTTCGGGAGGAAACGTTTAAAGTTATTTTTTTGAACTGGTGAGTGTACCACTTCCCTAATTTGCTACTTATCTGGACTATCTGTGACTTCTGTATATTCTGTATGAAACGAGGGTGTACTTTATCACACTCGTTTCTCTCATCTGTTTATTCTGGTTCCTGTATACTGTATGAGTCTGTATTTGTTCTCTGTATCTGTTATCTGTATCTGTTCTCTGTATTTGTTGATGTCGTTTGGAGGGTTGAATCCAACAACCATTCTATGACCTTTGAGCTCAAAATCGGGGGCTAGTTACTCGAGTCGAGCCGACAAGGGTCTGGTCGATTAGATAACGAACCACGGTAGTCCACTTCTAGGAAATCTTTAGGTATTGAAGACTCTAAATTTTCGGTATACTCGAGTATTACCATCCACTGTTACTGTTGAGGTGTTTAGACCCGGTAAGGGGTATGTTTGATAGACGAAATTGGCGTAAAGTGGTGCTCTACTGGACTGGTTTCTTTATTTGAAAGTTGACGGAGTGTCAACTACTATTTGATCAAGTTCTGATGAAGAAGAGGAATTTCGCTCTTGAGAGCCACCTGTATCCTTTCTATTTGAAGTATTTGTTCATTTCCTTATCTGGTGTGTCTATTTGACTACCTGTACTTCTGGTACATCATTGAGCATCAGCTCACCCCGTTCCCATTATTTTGTTTTCCTTACAGGATTCAAAATATTGAAACCATGATTTGGAAGAGAGAGTTAAGCTAGTAGATGTATATCATCTTGTTAAACTTCTTTGTAATAGAAAACCCTAATTGTATTTTGTTTAAGTATCACACTTTGGTTTTGTAAAGTTTTCATTGTGTGTGTGTATATATATATATATATAAGCTTGTGCTTGTGTATCTCAAGTGTATTTGTTTGAGATTGTAAGTCTCTGTGGCTATGGCGAACTTTTCCGGACCCCGTTGGTAAGATCAAGTGAGCGCGGCATTTGAACGTGGAAAGAAAAGTTTTTGGCGGGAAACCCTTGCAGAGAATCCGGCCAAGTATCCGGCCACATATCCGGCCAGTTCTTGGCCGGATACTTGGCCGGATTGGCAGGGGACGTTGAAAAAATTTGGATGGGTCACTACCTTGAATCCGGCCGGGCCGGCCGGATTGTGACGTGGCCACTTTTCGTTTCGTTTTCTTTTCATTGAATTGTGTAATTAAAGTCCCATTTCACCGTATGGGTTGGTAAATCATATTTTAGCTTAGTGGTCTTCATTTGTTGGTTTCTTGGGGTTCTATCGCGCATTACATAGGGTTTGCAAGTGTTTTGACTCCGTAGTCCTGGCGAGAGTTGGGCAGGCGGTCCGCCGCCTTTGGTTCACCTTAGGGGGAGGTGGGGCTATCACAGTTTCAGCACAACATTACCCCCTCTCGCCTTCTTTCTAATGCCCTCGACAATTTCTTGAGCCAACAAATAATTCTCCGCAATATTCCTGCCCCTAACAAACCCTGATTGCTGGGGAGAGACCAACTTTGGCAACAAATCAGCCAATCTATCAGACAAAAGTCGCGACAAAACTTTATTAATGAAATTGCAGAGGCTTATAGGCCGAAAGTTAGAAAAGTCCTGAGGGTTTGAGACCTTCGATATAAGGACAATAGAAGTCGAAGTAATGAAGCGCGGAAGATCTGCCCCACAAAAAAAAACTCACCACAGCGTTATTTAGATCCTGGGCGATAATATCCCATACAAAGATAAAAAACTTACCAGTAAAACCATCCGGACCCGCAGCACTATCCCCATCCATGGCATGCACCACACGTTTCACCTCATCCATTGAAGGAATATCCTCTAGGGTTAGGTTCTCCTCCCTCGTGAGGACAGGAGAGATGAGCGAAAGCAACTCATTGCTGGGTACCATAGCCTCTGAGTACAAGCCAGAAAAGAACCGAATGGCCTCAGTGGCAATATCCCCATCATCCACCACCTAAGATCCCATTTGCGTTTTAATCCGATGGATCATACCTTGCATCCTGCTTTGCCTAACCACCGCGTGAAAGAATTTAGAGTTTCGGTCCCCATTTGAGAGCCATTTGACACGAGCCTTTTGGCTCCAAAACTGCTCATCTATTGCCAATGCATGTCGAAATCCCGCCTGCGCCTCTTGTAGGCTAATGTGAGCTTCCCCAAGTCCTTGCTTTCCACCACTGTTTCTGCCAGAACCATCTTTGCCTCTGCCACCTTGACAACCTCAAAAACATTCCGAAAGGAACATTTATTCCATTGTTGGATGGCCCTCCTCACAGTCAATAGCTTAGTGCATAATACACGCCAGGGAGACCCATCTGTGGGGATGCTCCAAGCAGTGCAAATCACCTCTAACAGAGAGACCTGTGATGTCCAAATGTTCAAAAATCGGAATGGCCGGGGCTTATCGTCCTGACGGGTAGCAAACGTGATTTTCAGAGGGGCATGATCCGAAGGATGTCTAGCCAGATGGACCACCGAGATAGAGGCAGAGAGATTCGCACAGCCGCCATTCAGAAAGAGCCGATCCAACGGCTTCCATACCCGAGCTCGACCCCTCCTATTATTACACCAAGTGAAACATTGAAGCCCCCCCTACACACCAAGGACGTAACTGCGGCTTTTCAAGCAAGACATCCCTCCACAAGTCCTTGCGAGCCTCCACGAAGCACCTTGCATGGACCCAGGACAACACCAAAGAGCTAGGCAATAATGGACGATGAGCATCTAACGTGATATGTTGGTCAGAAGAACCAACCTGCGAGCAAACAAACGGTGACTTATAGAATACTCAGAGATCAGCAGATATATTGACCATCACAAAATCAAACGAAAGCCGCAAACATATAGATTCAATTCGAGCAACATCAAGCTTGGGTTCACAAATACAAAGAAATTGAACGTCATGCATGCGAATTAACCTGATCGATCGCCTAAGATTGAGAGCTTTCGACACTCCCCTAATATTCCAAAATAAGGCATTAATCATGGGACAACACATTGAAAGAACTTTGAGAAGATGTCGCAGAACGAAGCTGCCTGTCTGAGGAAAATTTAGCACGTATACCTTTCACCTTCACTTGCGTAAATCCCTCCTCTAATTCCATGGCCTGATCCATATTTAGCGCCAACAGTGATGAACCCATCGCAAGACCACGCGGCCTGCTCAATCTTGGTGACAGATTCCCAGTACCCCGTGGTAGCTCCTTCTCAAGCAAAGCTGCCACTGGACTTCCCAAATCACTCCCCACGTCTCCCCCACCTTCATACCCCCTCGGCACTGTTGCGAAGGCCGCAAGCGCCGCCACTCCCCCCTCAACCGCAGCAGTCTCACCAACTGCAGCTGCCCCTCCATCATCCTGCTCCTCGGCCGCTACCTCCTCCAACCTAGCCCTCTCCACAGTCGCTGCATCCTCCACTCCCAAACTGGTCGCACTCTCCCCCTCTTCTCTTGCAACCACACCTGCCTTGCTGCTTCCCAAGTCCGTGACTACCCTTCTCACTACACCCTCGCCCAGCCCCTGTATCCCCTCGTCCGCGCTCTCCGCCGCTCCCAACACCACAAGCAGTGAAGCGTCCCCACAGTCAGCTACTGTATCTGCACCACGCATATCCCGCAGCTTGACGGCCTCCTTGCTAGCAGGCTTACGAGGAGGTTGTGCCTGGTTCACGAAGTGGTCCTTGTTGCACTCATCCTTGGAGTGTCCAAGCCGCTAGCATGAGGAGCTGTACGAGGGCAGGTGCTCCACCACAATGTCTTGCTAGAAGCCCCCCTCTCCCTCGACAGCCACCCACACTGGCGAGCAGACTGGTTTCAATAAATCAAATTCGACACAGGCTCTAGCAAAGCTAGGCCTTGTACCAGCTGTAGTTGTCGAATCCAGGAATAGCGGCGTACCAACAGGAGACAAGATGGAGAACAGCGAATGTTTATCGTAAAGATGAATGGGAAGCGCTGGTAATGCGACCCAAATCAGCACCTGCGATGACTCCTTGTGGACGTGGAATTCCCTCGTCCAACGAAACACCCTCATAGGGTGTTTTCCTAAGTTCCACAATCCCTTAGTCCAGATACGATTGATGTCCGCCTCTGCCGAACATCTTAGCAAAACATGTCTGTAGTCCAGCAAGCCAATGGAGATGTTGTCCTTTAGATTGAGCGACGCAAAGAACTTCCGCACGACCTCTAGAGATGGCCGACAATGGGAAAATTTGCCCACAAGAGTCCAACGAAAAGGAGCAGCCAACTTGCCGGCCTCCTCCTTGGAGAAGACCACTGCCGCTTCCCCCTTGTACGAAGTCACTGACCGCAATTGGATAGGAGACGAAGCAGGCTCCGAGAAGAGTTGTGAGAAAGATTTCTTGGCCGTTAGAGAGGTCGCCTGACCCTCCATAACCTGCCGCTGGGCAGCCAGGGCGTTGCCGCAAGTCCTAGCAGTGTTCATACTTTCTTGGAGAAAACCCTAGCTGCAGCAGTGGAATGGGGAAGTTTTGAAAGCAATTTTATGACTATAATGATGGAATTACTTGGGTTTAGAATTTGGAATTAGTCTATTTATTAGGTTAGTTTGTTAGTACAGTGGGTTTAGTTGAAATATGAAAGAAAACAATTGGCAAAATAATTTTTGTTTTATTTTTGTACAAAAAGGGTAGTTTAGGATTTTTGAGAAAAAATATAACCTTTTGGACCTATATTGTTATATAAATAGTAAAAGCAAGGAAGGTAGGTGTAATTTAATAAACTTGAGGGGAGGTCTCTGTAATTGTCAAAAACCTCAAGGGAAGTTTATGAAATTATCCCTAGATTTAATTTCTCAAACTTGTAATTGTCTAATTAATAAAGAAATTCAAATAATATCAATAATTGACTCATCTTTCTTGTTGTATCAAGATTCGAATATTCTTTATACTCGTATATGACCAGTGCACTTGCAGCACATGCAAGACACATACTCGTTTTTTTTCCACTGAGAAGTGGTCCATTTCTTTTACTCCTAAAACATAATAATCAAAACAAAAACAAAAGCAAAAACAAAGTGGTCTGTCCATGATGCTTCTTCTCATACGTACTTATCAAAACTCAAAGGGAGAACACTAGGAACTATCTATAAATAGTCATGCCGATTGAATTCATTTCCCTCAGAACATAATCGGAAGATTTTTATAGACTTATAGCAATACTTTTGTCAAACACAACAAATCTTGCTCTCTTGTTACAGCAGAAGAGCTTCTTTTAGCTTTTTGGAAGAAGAATTTTATAGGAAAACTTTTGCATCTGGCAATTTCAAATGGCTTCTACGGGTAGCTTCGTGCCAAAGAACTTGCTAAAAGTTCTCAGCTCCGATCCTCATCGGATTCCCAGTATTGTTATGTAGGTTTGATCTTATTTAATTTTACTCGCTGTCCGGAGCATTATGATTTATGGTATTTTTCTCCGCGCTATGTTAGTGCAATCGTGTATTAGATTGTTTTTGTCCAACATCAAAAAATGTGCCTCGCACACAGAAGTCTTGGCTGCATCAATAATATGCTGAATATGCTTGAAATGTGCCTAGATATATAGTTTTGTAGCCTTGATCCGCCTTAACATGGATGTCAAATTTTGTGGAAGCAATTATGAGAAGAATAAGTTTTACATTCAAAGGCTCCAAAAAGCTTTTCCCCACAATGTATACCAGAAACCCTCTAGTTACTATTGTTATTATATTTAACCTTCCCAATTTTCCCCACACCGTTCTCACTTCTAACAGTTAGGCATAGGATTAAAATCCTGAATTTAATAGTAGTAAAAACTCTAAGTGCTCTCCCCGATTCAATGGACCGACCCTAGTAATTCTTGAGTTCATTCATTTAGAAGATTATCAAAAGGATAAAATCACCATTTGTGAATCCAACAGTGCATTGTTCTGCATTCTTGAATTACAGATATAGCATATATATATGTACTGACATATATATATATATATATATATATGTATATATACTGATTTTTTAATTTATTTGCTACGTGGTCTTACATTTTTTCAGAGGATGTGCATCTACATCACGTGCCCCAACCAAGCCACCGGTTAAAACCAACCCTCCACAAACTAACGCGGCCACGGATTCAACCGATGAGAAAATGGATACCAATACTGGAGGGCCATATTTCACCAATTATATATGAAGGCTATTGAAGGCAGCAGAGTTGATCAAGACCATTTTGAAATCAAAGTGAGAAATCTACAAAATTAATTGCGTATCCAAATGACTACCTTGCTAATTACCCCGATGGACTGAGCAAGGAAAGTGAATAACTATATTTAATTACTCTTCATGAGGGTTGACACAAGTAAATTAATTGAGTCAAAACTATGTGTCATTATTTCAGCTTTAAAATTTGAATTTTTGTTTTATTGGCAAAATCTGGGCCATGAACCTTTGAGGATGGACAACCATGTCTATGCCCTTTGTTCAATGACTATAATTCAATGTTTTGAAACTCGAACTATTAATTGAACTAACAAGGTGTTTGGGTCGAGATTCAACTAGTCGAATTGGTTCAACTGGCGAGGTATTCAAGTCGAGGTTCAACTGATCGGATCGATTTAACCCTAGTTCAATGAATTTTTTAAAAATAATTTACATAAATATATGTGCACAAAATAGGGCATGCAAATGACTAATTTAAAACTTTATATGATGGTTTAATATTTTCAAAGATTTTAGATTTTCACAAATAATTTTTTAAAATTATAAGTTGAAACAAATAAATTTCATCTTAACCTCAATTGTATCTACCAAAAAAATAATCTTAAATCCAACCACAATATTCTGAAATTATACAAAATTCATGTCTATGGGAATTAGACATTGTGAATTTAAAATTTAATTCATGTTTTTGGGATTTAGAATTGAAACTTAAAAAAAAAAATAAGTTTGGAGTTCGGAGGAAGTTAGGAAAATAGAAAATAGAGATGCAAACTTGATAAGAGACAAAAAAGAGAAGAAAATGAGTGGATATGGCATTTAATAATTAGTCTTTAGGGTAAAGGAAAATCTATTTTTTTTTTTCAATTTAATAGTCAAAAATAAAAAAAAATCATTGGCTTAATGGTTCAATTCAATTTGCACGGTTCGCACGGTTTGAACGATCCGTATCAATTTTAAATCTAATCAACCCAAAATATGACCAGAACTGGAGATAAAAACAATTTGTGATCTGATCGGTCGAACCGATGGATCTGATCCGATTTTCAAAACAATGCTATAATTTGACAATAACAGGCCCGTGCAATATCCCGAGGCACTTGGGCTCGATAATTCTTGGCATTAGTGATTTGCGGGGTCATTGTTGGTTAAGTCTATTGGGCTTTAAAGAATCAATCTAGCTCCCCGAGCATCATAGATGGTTAGATAATTGTTGGTATCTATTCCTTGAAAGAAGCTTCTAACATAGTAACGTGTAGGATTTAGACTTTACATAGTGAATTAAGGAATCCTATAAACCACATGAACATTTCCGGTCAATATGATGTGCTCATGTTGGATCTCGGACACCACATGGTACTATCTTGCTTTTAGTATTTGCCTACTTTTATGATTGATGATTAGGGGCTTCTACAATAACAGTATGGATTGTAGGATGCAGTGAATGGTAGGAACAATTTGATATAAAATTGAATGAACGCAATTTATTTTGCAGCACAATGTTCAAAGCGTGTCAAATTTTGTTGTGTTAATATCTACAAATGTTATGTTACTATCTATACTGTATCATATCATGCAGTTGAAATTGTAGCACGTAGTAAGTAGCTGCTTATATAAAACTACCGAGGTCTTATCATGGTTAAGCATTAGCACAACTACAGCATAATAGTCCCTGACCAAGCAGAACAAAATGTGACAGAGTCACAACTCCTAAAATAGTAGCGCAATCAGAAAACACCTATAACAACTAAGACAAAAAGAGAGACTGTGTCCGATGCACCCCATGTTTGGCTAGAACCATCCATATGGAATTTCATGATTAATGCAAAACTTCACTGTTTCCTTTCACTTATTCCATCCGTTGGAGCTATCCAATCCTGAAAAAGAACATGATTTCCAGTTTTAGTATCTCTGTAAGCGGAAATAACCAAAAGAATAACAACAAAACGCATGCGTGCTTCAAGACCCTAAGCTTTAGCAGCAGAACAAGCCATGTGAGAAACATTTCTATGGTAAACCACCTGTACCAATTTTAATGCTCGAAAAAATCGAAGAATATAATTTATTTATTTGAGAACATAAGAATAAAAATCAAGAATAAGGCTGAAAGCCACAAGAACAAACTCAGAGAAACCAAACCACCCTTGCCTGCCATAAGAAAGTCTCCAACCACCAAGCCAACATTAAAATTATCTAATAATATTCTCAAATATCTAATAATGATCTAAGATGTAATAAGTAAAAAGATCAAAGATCAAGCATATGGCTGCCATACAAAAGAAGAACCCCAAGAATCCCAGAGAGTCCAAACCTTCTTTGCCCAGTAAACCAACAATACTAGCTTTAGGAGTAAGAACAAAAGTTAAAAAGAAAAGAAAAAAAAAAGGAAAAATACAAATGCAAAAATTAAATTGAACAGTGCAACTCTGTTTCCTATTTTGTTTCAGTTACCCTTGAACCAAAAAGAAGGGGGAGATTCAATCCCAAAAGCATTGTTCAAAAGCATTGTTCTGCTGCATACAATCACGGAAACATAATGCTGCATGATATTCTACACAAATTAGCACCAAAGGGCAGATTATAAACAGTACAACAGCTAAGTATAAAGTGATGCCATACTTTTTTAAGCACATTTAACCACCAAGAAGAACAAATACTACCAAATTCTCTTCAAGAAGTCAACTTCATAGTCGCAAAAATAGGGGGAAATTTGTGTTAACTAGAACATGCGAGGGAAGTATCAAGAAACAACACCGTTACCTTTGCTTTTTAGTCGATAACCAAATCTTCCATCTTGATACAGAACTTATCTTTGTCCTGTTCCTCCACCTTCTCCATCCCCTTCAGAGAAACCAGGCTCTCTGTGTAGCTAAATGCCTCATAGGAGGTTTTCATAGCTTCAGCAATCCGGAACTCCTTGATCGCATTAGTCATAGGATCATACAAAAACAGCGTTCCTTCTGGAGTCTCTGCCAAAATCACGCCATCTTTAGAGCATTGCATATGCCTCTCCATTTTCAGTCCAATTGGACCATGGCAAGATTTCGTGTCCCAACGTCCCTTGCCTTCATCATAAACCACAACATCAACAAAATCATCCCTCTCTCTAGTAGGAGAGTACACAAGTATAGCAAGACTACCCTTCCACTCCACAAATCTCCCCCCTTTAGTGCAATCCATATTATAATCCGGCACAGGAACATGCCTAAAAACCTCGTTTTCCACATCATACCACAGCATAACTTCACGAAACATTTTCACCGGATCATAGATAATTGCAGTCCAATAAGGCCTTCCTTTTACAATAACATTGCTCCTAGTAGGAATAATTGAAAACTGAAAACTAAGGCGAACCCTTTTCCAAGAGTCCAAGTTAGCGGAGTAAACCTCAGCAAAAGCCCTCAAGAAATTCTTCGGACTATTCCCATCAGGCTTGAAAATCGTAATCCTCACAATCTTATAGTCATCCTTGCTTTCATCATAAGCAAACCCGAGTGAAATTCTGTCTATACTTTCATCAATTCCTCGATTAGGAAGCCTAATGGCCTTCCAAATACTCAAAGCAGGGTTCCAGAGGACAATCATCTGGGCAAAAGGAGGGCAACTGAGGCAAACCAGCCCATTAACACAGCCCACCAAGTCCATTTCTTTGAAGATTACAGGAAAAGGATTGACAAGATTTGTGGGTTCTTCAGCAGTGGAATTGACGTTCAACAGCGACATATTATGGTAGTAATCCTCGTCAATGCTGTGGATGATAAGGGAGTGATTTTGGGGATTCTTGGCAGTTTGCTCGTGGTGCATCTTGATGAACTCTGTGGTGGAAAAGAGCTTCAGCCATGGCTTGCAAACGCACTTGTATCGCCGAACGGTTTTCACGGGGAGGCGGGTGAGAATGGAGAGCATCAGGTCTTCGGGTAACTTGCAATCGGACATGGCTCCTGAGACCACGACGTTGTTAGTGGGTAGTGGAGCGTCTGGTTCACTGGGTTTGCGAGTGTTGTTTCGTTGGCCTTTTCTCTTCGGCGGCATCTTGATCGGTCGGAAGAAAATGACGGGACTGATGGTGGGGATTCCGGCGTGGGAAAGGATATGTATGGGGGACTAGAGAGGCTTTTATCCCTATAGTTAGTTATAGGCTGAATAGAAGCAGAGAAAATGAAATATAGGGACTGATTATCCGTTTCGTAGTGAGAAAGCAGTTGCTTTTTCATTTTTGTTCCATCTTTTTCAGTTACGTAACGAGGGAGCACGTTCTAGCTTAATGCCGTAATTGGGAGCAGATACTTGCGATTCTCTAGGGCTAGATGTGGGAAAAGTACCCATTGACCCAAAAACCTGCTATATCTGATTTGTTCCGATACCAAAAATAAGGTATCCGGCCCACGTTATTTGATTGGATCAAAAGAGGTTTGGATACTCACTTATATATGGAATAGGGTCATTGAACAAATTATACAACAAGATTACTACTAAAATTCGAATAGGGTCATTAAAAATTCGAATTCAATTTTAGTAAAATTGAATTGAGGTTTAACTAGATTAGATCAAAACTCAACTCAGTTTGAATCTATTATAGCCGTAGTTGTGAATAGGTTAGTGAATACGTGGATAATTATAACATAGTTTTTTATTAGAAAAATTCCTAGTGTTTGATTTATTTGCCAAATTGATCCTTAATAATTCAATTAAAACACATATAATTCCAAAATTTTTTAAGCATATTTAGGACAATTGTTGCAAATTTAACAATAAGTAATAATCAAACTATTAAATAACAAAATTGCACTTAGCCCCGACATAGCTCGTAACTCTTTGCACTCCATTACGTACTACAGATTCCAAACTCACCCCATGCAGAGATCTAGGTGCGCGATATTTAGGCTTGTACATCACTTAGCTCATTGTACTCCCTTACGTAGTCAAAACTATAACATCATAGGTCGTAGACTAAACTATCGCATAGAGATAGCTCCCGAATGTGGCAGTTAGTCCCATAGAACACCTACCTTCTTGCAATTCCTTATATAATCGAAGTCAATCCAGTACTCGAAGTAGGGCGTTTAGCAGCTAGTCATTCAATACATGGTATAAGAGGAAATTCATTGAGCTCGACTCAACTAAACTAAGGGGACGGAAGCAAGGTCAAAAGCATCAACCTCATCCAATGTAGCTCGTTGCTACGATGCTTCGGGCGAAACCTCATCCTAAAACTACTGAGACTCCTTTATCAGGGTTGACATAAGGGAAAAAGGTTAAGGAGTTCCTCTACCTAGTCCTTGGATAGTCTGAACTTTGCCCTCAAGCTATTCTCAAAGGGAGTTCATAGAAGAAATACACGGAGCTACCTTCTTCCGCGAGGGCTACGGAATCGAATAGTGGATACTCTTCCTTTCGTTCGTCTGAAAGAAGACTAACATATTGATCTTTTAAAAGAAAGGATACAAGAAGGCATTCTCATTGGACTCGTAGCTCTGGCTTTCCATCAATAAAAGGGGAATCCGCCCTTCCCTTGAATTCATCCTTCTTTGAGAACATTACTAGTCCCAGACTCACCTTGCATACCTGCTATTCAGGGCAGTGGAGGGGCTCAGGAGAACCCTGTCGGATTCAGACGAGGCCGCGGATGATGGCAGCTCCACCGGGACAGAGGGAAGAACACACCTGATGCATCTAATGCACTTCGTATTCATCACTGAACGATGACAAGTGTCCGTGGGTGGCCAAGTACAAGCTCGAAGATTCCAACATCAAGAGTGGAATCAATTTCTGCAAGATAAAGGCACATATGAAGCTAGCAACCGCTAAAGTACCAGACAAGGTCCAGTTCCGATCACCGAGAGTGCACATACTGTCCGATCTCTTCACCGAAGAAGACGTGGACATGTGGCACTGCAACTATGCTCCCAAGCAGCCTGCACTTTGTCGTTCCACGTCCGCGATAGTCAGACCCAGCACCAATCATCTCTTAATTGGGCCTGGAACGTCCTTGGGCCAGATTCGTAATTCAATATCCGAAATTGGACTGGCCCAGCGCGATGAAATTCGCTTTCATATCATTTGTAACGCTTTGGATCCTTTAGGCCGCTCCAATAACATTTTGAGTTGAAATTACGGATTCAAAATGATTAATTCAAAATTATTTACTAGCCGATGATTCGGATCTAATATATATATCACTTCCTTTTTAAATTTTCGACATGGGACAGAACTATACAAGTCCTCACGGTAATCTAACGGAATTCAGGTAACCTAAAACTAAGTATTTTTCGGATGATATGTTTCACCTTTCCCCCTCTATTTTCCAAGTTTATGTTTTGGGTTCAAATTCCCTACTCCATTTTTGGATTTTAAATCTCACCATTCCCTTGATAGAAAAAGAAAATTTAAAAAGATATATTTATCCACAAACCAATAATTTTGCATTATTAATGGGACCAAGTGTCATTTCGTTATGGAGTTAGATCTCGCCACGAGGACGGACGCTTTGCAATTATTGGAGCAAGTGCACCATAAAGTTGTTTTGATTAGCTAGTGCTGATTTTAAATTTGAGCACCGTAAAGTTGATGGCTTAAATGGGCTTGATTTAAAAATAAATGGATAGAACTGATTGCGAAACATAACTTTCAATGAGCACCGTAAAGTTGATCTAAAACAGCGCTAGTTCAAACGTAATACATGTTGTCACATTGTAAGCAGTTACTGAGGCAGGATTTTTTTTCCTGGGGGCCAAAAATTTTTCCTAATAAACTTATTTTAATATATTATGTATAAGATAATTTTTATCTATTTAAATATATGGCATCTAAAAATATCAAATATTAATTTTAACTATAAGATATGTCTATTTTATAAATATGCAGCACAATCATAACAAAAATTAAGACAAAAAATAACTTTTGATAAAATATCTTATAATAGCAAAAATCACCCAATTTGTATATACTTATTGTTTTGACAAAAAAAAAAGTATATTATGAGAATATGCACCAATATGTCGCCTGTACCGAAAAAAAAAACCATGCAATATAAATACAACTATTTTCAATTGAAAAAAGATAAAAGTTATGTTAACATATCTTGAAATTTTAACCTCTTTTCTTAAAAATAAATTGAATTTTATGTTCTTTCATAGAACTAAATTCATCTATAATGGAATCAGTGCTAAATTTTTTAACAACTCCCTTTTCTATGCACACAGTTAGACAATCATTTAAAAAATTATCTTCCATCTTGTTTCAAAATTTTGTATTGATTATCTTCATAATTGAAAGTGTCTATTCTATGAGAATAAATCTAATGAATTGGGCTAAATTGTATATTTGTATTTGGGCTAATAAAGTAATTATTTTTGTTTTAGTCCATTGATAATTATCAATTGAGTTTTTTATATTAATATACCAAATTGGTTAAATTTATGGATTATCAAATTATATGTTTAATTTTTTGAAAGTTATATAATTAGCACAATAAAAAATAAATAACTTTTTGAAGAAAATATTAATTTAAAGGTGGCTAATTCATACATACACACACACGCACACTCTTTCTCATAATATAAACTAAAATTGTTAAAAATTAAGAGGGGCCAACTTTATTTTACATATATATTTACACACTATAAATTAAAATTTTCAAAACTTAGGAGGGGTCACGGCCTCCCTCAACCTCCTGGCTCAGTCATTGATTGTAAGGTGCAATTTAAAATGGCAATTGTAGTGGCCCTAAATCTTCCACATTGTACTATTTAGAAATATACAAGGTTCAGGTTTGAACTAGCGCTCAAAAGATGAAAGAAAATTATTTGTAGTAGTTCTTCCTTGTAAGAAAAAGGGTTATTATTATTTTATTCTCTTAAACTATATCACTACTATCAGTTTACTTCCTAACGTTATCTTTTAATTATTTTACCTTTATAGGTAATTTAACTCAACATGTTAAGAAATTTTGGACAAAAATACCCCTTTATTCTATAGCATTATCACATTGTTATTATCACTTTATCCCTTTAAATTATAGTGATATAATCGTTTTAATTTCTAACATTATGTTCTAGGCATTTTATCTCATTGTTAATCTAACTACTATAGTAAAAAAATTTTAATTATATATACCTTTTTATATGTAAATAAAAATAAAAAAAATGGAATGGTTATTCTACCCTTTTTTCATTTTAAGAGATCCAAAAACATTAAAATAAAAGGATTTTATCAAATTTCTTTTTTTTTACACTTATTAATACTAGGAAAACAAAAGGAGATAGGAAAAAAGGAGGCAGAAAATTAGATTTTGCAAAGAAAGGAAATAAAGAAAAATTTAACATTATTATATTACTTTAAAATTATTAGGATTATAATGAAACTATAGTTTATGAGGGTAAAGTAATAATAAATTTAAGGGTTAAACATGTCTTTTCACTTTTATTAACAGACTCCATTAAGTTTGACCATTAGTTTTGGAAGTAAAGTGACTAAAAGTAATATTAAGGGGAAAATTGATAGTGAGACCAAATGTTAAGAGGGTAAAGTGATAATAACCCTCAGAAAAATTAGGTTTGTCAACTATTACTTTGGTTCACGACCCCAAAAAGTTGAAAAATCATAAATACTCCAAAAACTACCCAACATCCAAAGGTTCATTACCAATACACATTCATTTCTAAATGGCTTCAATTTAGTTTTGTGTAAGTAGTATATGCTTTTAATTTTATCTTTACGAGGCAGAATATAGGAAAAGATGATAAAACTATACGTAGTCTTCCATTCACATCTAGATTTGACTTTTTGTGACAGCCCCACCTCCCCCTAAGGTGAACCAAAGGGTTCGGCGGACCGCCTACCCAGCTCTCGCTGGGATTCAGTCGTTCCTTAATCAAATCCGGAATACAACCAAAGGAATAACATACAACAATCCAAAACTTAAGTGAAACTTATATATACATTGCTATCTCAAAAGGAAGTACAACAATCAAATGTACAAAGGTTCTCACTTCCATACAACCAGCCCGTGCCAAGCACTAGGGCGAGAACCATTACAAAAACAAAGAGTTAGACCAAGCTAGTCTATACCAAACTCTCATCCTTACATGCCTTCCCCTGTTAAGGAAAACAAAACTAAAGGGATGAGTTAAA